GTATTTTCTTCCGGCCCAGTCAAGCAGGAGGCCTGGTCTACCCGGGACCACTTCGATCGCTGCTTTTTTCCTCTCTCTCTCCAGGATTATCCTCTTATCAGCACTGCAAAAGCCAGGCTGCGAAGCGCCAGTAATTAGCCTATCTTTAATTAACGAGCACTCTGCTTCAAAACCACCCACGGCCGGCGTAGGCTCCCACTTGGAAGGCAGTCGGCGCAGCGCAAGGATGAGCAGACTTAATCTTGTTTTTGTCTGGGTGAGGGAGAGTGAACGCGTAGAAAAGGGCAAAGGTCATCTTCAAGTAGTTGGGGAGCCGCGCTGAGCAGAACATCCCTCATGCATGCTCGCTTGCAAACAACAAGGGAATCCTGCCACCCACAACTGTTCCACTTCACTGTACGTATGTGTTCGGGCGTTCATTCGAGGCTGTTCGCTGGTGTGTGTGGATGAATTGCTGCACATAAATCATACTGCCTCCTCACTCTCATTAACAAACCTAAATTTACAGGTTTACTTAAGCCTCCTTCAGATCTACTGCGGAAACTCAAGTGGGAGGATATGAGGGACAGAAGTCACTTTAATGAGCCTTACTCAAGTTTACAAGATTCACAACTTTGCTTGTGAATACTTTTTAGAACTTGGAATAAAAGAAAGGAGTAAATGTTAATGCAAACCTCAGAACTTTTGGTCAGGTGACTGTAATGGCTAAAGGTCAAAGAGGAATGGGACATGTGAGGGCGGTGGGAGTGACGAGCAGATCTGGATGAAACCTGGACAGGGAAAGCGGACAATGCCTGAGATCGGCCTGGTCCTGGGACTGTAGAGGAGGAGAGGCGACGGCGGCCCCAGCATGCATACATTAGTGGTGCTTAGGCTCACTAATTGCTTCTCACTTAGACAAATCTCCTGCAAATCACGGCTGCGCCGCCAGCACTGGCCGGGCCCCCCGGGAAGCAGAGACGGCAGGCAGGCGGACAGAGCGAGAGACAGGAGGGGGGAGGAAGAGGAGGAGGAAAGGCAAGTGGAGCGTGTGTACCAGAGGCGCTTTGGAGCAGTATGGAGGAGGAAGGAGGTGAGGTGGGGGCGGAGGGAGGATGCTCCCATGAGAATGCCCAGAAACGAAAAGAGAGCGAGAGAGAAAAGCAGCACTTCAAGTGTGGCTCTCTTTCTGCTCATCCATAGTCCGGACTGAGAATGCCCCCTCCCAACCTCTCACACCCCCTTCACTCACAAGCCCCACCGCTGCTCTATTCCTCCATCCAACCCCCACCGTCTCTTCTACAAGCCCTCAGATCTCTGCTCTGCCCCCTCGCCGGCCCCTCCTCGCTCTCTCCATCGCTCCATGGAAAAGTGAAGGAAAGATGAAACTCTACAAAGAGGGGGGGGGGAGGAGGAAATCAATAACACAGATGGATAGCTGGATAACAGGGTCCGGCATGCTTCGGCAGTGAGGCAATCCAGAGGGTGCCCACACAACTTCCACACAGGCGCAGAGAGATGGGCAAAAACAAGACGCTGGGAAGAAGGTGGTGATTAGCCTCAGGAAGTAAGCATCGCCCGCAACACACAAGCACGCACTTGTTCATGTCCTGCATGAACTACAACATATGGGATGCACCCATACACAAAAAAATAATGCACAAGGCCAAACATGCAAAACTAAACAAGCGCAACAAAAACACCTGGAACTTTCAACAGGGCCTTAATTTTTAACTGGGTGAGATGCAGCAAAACAGTGAGAAGTATGATGTAACCTGAGGTAGGAGAACACACTCCAGCTTAACAACAGAATAACTCTAAAGATCAATAATATTTTCTGATATTAGGTGGCTGAAGGCAACAATTCTTTTGTTAGTGTAGTTTTTTAGGAACCCCCTCAGGATCACTGTTTACAACAGGGGTCCTCAAATCCAGGTGAGCTGCAACTTTAAGATGTGTCTCTGCTTTAGCACACCTGAGTCTAATAATCAGGTCATTAGCAGGATCTGGATAACTTGAATGGGGATTCTGACATGTTGGACCAGGGAAATATGTAAAACTTGCAGGACCCCAGCTATTGAGGACCGCAGGTATACGATTAATTGTTTTTTGTGTATTATTGAGATTTGATGGTGTGTGAGTGACTAAAAAGTAGCTTTGGATATGTGTGTGTTGGAGTGGATGAATATACATTTAAATATTTTTTTTTTCTGTGTGAATATTTATGTATGCATGTATTGAAAGAAAAACCAGGGACTGATTTAAATTACTTTGTCCTTAAACATATCAGATGTAGACTCTTCTCTGTTGCTATGGTTGTCTTCATTGTGGCTGTTAAATAAATAAAATATCCTGCAAAACCTGGAGCTGAGAACATTCAATACCATAAACAGGTTTGAACCCTTAACTCTCTTGAAGGAGCCTGAGTCCTGGTGAACACGTCCATTTACATGTAAGAGTTTTCAAGGTGCCAGTTAAGGAGTTAAACATGTTATTAAAAATATATTGCGTTAATGTCAGTATGGCTGTAAACCACCTGTTTTATCCTATGATACATCCATTTGTTTGTTTGTTTGATTCAGTTCACAAATACATGACGAATATAATGCGATGTCATATGCCTGGATAACACAATCATTTATATCTACATCAACTCACAAAAACAACTCTTAACAGAATATGATTGGATTATTTTCTTTCTGAGCTTTTACAGACATCAGGCATTGAAATAGAAATGTTAAAATAAGCCTGGTCATATGGATTGGTAATTAAATTTTGCATTGATGTGATTGGATTGTTAATAATTTAATTGAGATATTGATATAAATAGATCCCAAAATGTTACTCAGGTATCCTTAACACTAGCCAGCAAAAATAAGCAGTAATACCCAGAATTTTTGTTTTTGTTTTCTTTGAATGAATTAAAATAGGAATGTTTCAACCAAATCAGTTAACTCCAGTCCAACAGATTTCTGAACCATTAAAAAAAAATAAAAACGAAAACACAGATATGAAAGAGTAACCTTACTTTTTCTTTTTTTAAAAAAAAACATTTTGGCGATGTGGGTTCAGATTATCTAGCTAGTGTGCAACCAGTCCGCTGGCTCACTTTGAGGTTCCAGCTTGGCCTGATGCAGGAAGATAAATGATATACTATTATCTATGTTTTTCTTCTAATCATCACTGAATCACAGTTTAACTCCAACAAAAAGCAATAGCAAAAGAGGTTCTGACTTTCCACCACTGAGTTACAGTTAATGCACCACAAGATAAAGGTTAGCAGAGATATAAAAAAAAACAAGAGAAGCTGTGATAATGTGCACAGTGAGCAGGAAGCTAGAAGTCACAGTAGAGGTTTAAAACCATACGAGTGTAAATGGATGAGTTATGGTAGCATTGGATGACAGATTCTGAAAAACAACAAGATAAGTTTCCTTGAATCCTATGAACTTTACATCATGCTACCACACAAATAGCAAAGCTGTTGCGTTGTGCTAACGTAAGCAGAACTTTGCTGGTTAGGTTTCCTTTTAGGAATACGTTCATTAATACTAAAACCACCAATACCTTACAAAGGTTATTTGGTTATTTCAAAAAATAAGAGAAAATCATCTTATTCAAAAAATAAGCCTACCTGCAGTGTTTTGTCAGTACCTTCATTTCATTCATCTTGTCACTATTTTCAGATCAGAATCATAGCACAGGATGAAGGTCTGAGATCTATATTAAAGGCTCTCTTTGCACCCTGAACTTTCTCATTACCAACAACACCAACATGTCCAGGGACAAAACAAAAAATTTTTAAATTCTGAGATTTTAGAAGTTCTAGTTTCTCTAAAACACAGACAATCATGGGAATATCTCACTTTAAGCAGGAAACGTGACATACTTCTCATATGCAAATATGTGTTGCTCACTAAAAAGACTTTAAAGTTTCAGGTTTGTTGTGTTTGTGTGGTTTTTGTGTTGATTGTGATCAAATATAGTTAGGCATAAAATTATTAATTCCCCTTGGAGATTAGTTTCCAAATTATTTTCATGCCACCAAGAAGTTTGTTCTGATAAGAAATAAGACAAGTACAGCAATGAAACAATAGTATCAGTTTAAGAATTATTATATATTTATGCACATTACATTTTAAAATGACATGAAGAAAATTATTTAAACCCTTCTTCAACAGAGACATATTCATAGTTGTTCCAGAAAACAAATCTGTCCGCTTTCTACTTGTGTCTGCTAGTATTTGGATGATTTATCTTTGGTGAAAGGCCTCACTGTCATCACCCTAATCTTTATCTCCCTCCACAGATTCTCAATAAGATTTGAGTCTAGACCCAAATACTTCAAAACATTAATATCACCGACAGACAGAAGAGGCACTGTGGTAAATTTAAAAGCTTTCTTTAAACATGCAGTGGGGTATGAATGTTTTTGGGCCTGTCTGTAAAAGGTAATATCAAGCACAGTAAATGTATTTTCCTCTGTTTATGGGAGAAAAATACATTTACATAGTATGAAATGTGTATAAAACATATTTTATACTATCCACCATATCATTAGGCTTCAAAACTGTCCCATACCATGCTTTCACCACCTCTGTACTTAGAAGTTCATTCAGCTGAGTTTTAAATATTTTCACCAAAAATATACATGCAGGCATCGTTATAGTTAAGTAATTATTTTTGTCTGTTTTTTCCTTGTTCATATAGTAAAACTTAAACTTATTTTTACTTTCCGTCTGCCAACCTTTCTGTAAATAGTAAAACTTTAATAGATGTAGCAACAACAGTATTCTGGTAGGTTTCTGTATTTCTCAGTTCTGAGTCTTAATGTCTGAACTCATGACCTGAGTCTAAATCTGAACCGAGCAAACTTTATTCACTTATCAAAGACCGGTAATGACATCCAAATGTTTTCACTGAAAATGTCGCAACCTGCAGTTGTTCATAAATTACAGTGAAGCAAGTCTGACTTTTTGAAATCTACGATGCTGTGAGATATTTCCAGTGTGTTGGTCGTTCCAAGGGGAGCCGTCACACAAACCGTTCTCATGCTGGCACGGAGATGTTAACAGCTGCAGTCAATCATGATTACTAACGGGAAGTGAAGCGGTCCTGGCAAGTAAAAAAAAAAAAAACTAAAAAAAAAACACATTTTGGAGCTCTTAGTTTTGCTAAATTAATAATCTATGTGGGTGTAAAGACAGTTTGGAATCTGTCAGAATAATTTGTACTATGTACACTTCTGTAAAATCCTCAATAAATTCAAACTTGTGTTGTGAATTTATGGACTTTTTTTCTCTGTAAAACCTTGAAGATCAACAAACAATAAGCTCCATAAAAACATTTAAAGAGCTGACAGAACGCGCAATTTTGCAATAATATTTTTGTCTCTACTCGACAACTGCTTATAGTGTTGCATGCTGTACCTTAAAAAAAGCCTCACTTGTGGAGAAAAAAACGGATAATTCAAGGGTTGGCGGCAGCTTGTGGACTTTCTCAATTTTGGCCGTGACATCCTGAAACAAAAACGGCATATTGTGAAAATCAGAGGTAATTTTAGATAAGAGATAAATAAAAGTTAAAGTTAATACAAAAAGACATTATGGAGGCATATTTACATAAGAGGTGGCCTTAAAATGTGAATATCCAAATTAACCGGGCCAGTTTAAGGTATATTTATTTGGCCACTCTTTGGACTTTGAAGGTCTTGATTTAGCTCAAGAGGGTCTTCAGGGTTCAAATACAGACAAACACGTGAAGCAGAGATTTTTGTGAAAAACCTCACAATGAGGCTAGCAGTGCATGCAAAAGGTGTGCCCATATTACATACCACAAGAAAATTCAACAATGCAGACTCTTAAGTGTAATGTAAACTACAGGAGATGTCAATACATTTAGATTTTTCAAAAAAAAAGTTTTTTAAAAATTTGATTCAAATTTCTGCTAAAAAATTGATTAATAACCAACACAATCTCACTTCCCAAAAAGCTGTAGCTTAAAATCAAGTCAACCATCCGAATTAAACAACCCTCTTCAATTTGTCTCAATAGTCAGAACTTCGCTGCATTTCCGAGGCAAAACGAACGGCCACATGTTGAGAAATAGATGTTGGTAACTGTTAATCGGTTTACCCAAGAAAGAAAACTAACCACTGAACCGGGTGTACTTTCTAAGCGAAAGAAAATGGCAAACAATGCCTGAAAGGAGTAGCATACGAAAACAGCAGAGAATGGCTCAGTCTCCTCCAGCTCTGTAAACACCAAAGCCACTCTAATGGCAACAAACCAGTTAATATTCACATAATAATACAAGTTCAAAGGTTAAATGTTTATTTAATAAGTATGAAAGAAGCGGTTAGCACACAATGTGAAATTTTGCTTTGGTTATGTTGATTCAGTTTATGTCAGTATTCCTTTATGTAAAAACCCTGATCTGAAGTCTGATGTCAGTCTGTGGATTATGAAAATCTTTATATTCTTTCCGCTGACTGAAACCCGTACACACTGGTCACAAAGCTTTTAGCGACAACGGTAAAGGTGAAAGGTCAAAGACTTTATAATAATGATGATGACCCCAGTCTTCCATGCACATATTACATATACAAGCACACACACACACGTGTAAACAGGCACGTATTTCACCCCTCTTGCCTCCCACAGTCCAGTCTGTGTAGAAATCACTATAATTACCTTGTGGCCTTTTTAAGGTGATATTTTCTGTTTCAGTAAAAAGCCATAAGTCTATAAGACAGCCATTAACCTTAAGAGACTATAAAGATGTTATACACAATGTGGCAAATGTAAACTTGTCTCCTCAGATTCAACACAATGACTTGCAAAAAAAAATATTGTTGAAATTTTAGAAAATCACATATTTTAAATAACACATTGATTTTAAGAAGCTTATGAAAGTAATAACCTGCTAGTTTCCTCCCGCCACTGTTCATACTGTGGTAAAATGATCCTGACATATTTAATCGCACAAGTTTAATTAACACGAGCATCACTCTAGTTAAATATTTCCACTTATTCAAAGCGGAACCACTCAAAAGTGTCGTCTTGTAAAACGAATCATCAGCACCCCCTGCTGGTCAAACCTCGACGTTCCACAATCACATCAGAAACTCCTAAACCAGAGAAAAACAAATCCACTGGCTCCATCCTGTGGAGACAAATGTTTCTCTCTCGCATTTTGGATTAATGACATTTCACTTCAGATTGAAAGTAACCTCAAACCCAAATAATTTACACGTCAGGAAGAACATACAATGCAGGAGTGGCAGCTCAAATGATCAAATTAGTGATTAATTACAGCAAAGATATATATCTTACAAAACTCCAGACTGACTCCTAATTAACTTGCTAATAAAGTCAGATTAAAGTGTCTTCTATGTGCATGTGAGGACACAACTCATGAAAACATCTGAAAACATTTTATGGAGGCAGATTCTTTTTTTTTGTAAGAAAACACCCAGATGAGTTTTGTCTTAAAAATATGGTAGAAAAAAAATAGTGACAGTAACAATAACCGAAACATTAAGATGCAAGATGATCAAAAAAGGTTTATTTTGCATTCATTTGAAGACATTTATGTGAAATAGTTTTGATTTGAAAACTGTGACAAGAAAATATATTTTTTATGTAGTCAAGATACCAGCTGTATTTGTTTTTAATCAGATAAGCTCCTAAGAGAAAGTATGAATTTAGCATGTTCATATGAATAATCCAGCATAGCTTCAATTCTGTAAAACTAACCCAGTATGTAGTGAAACAATAAATTATAATATATTCTTTCTACAGGCCAGTAGATGGCGACCACTGTGGCTCCATAAAGGAGTGGGGTGGTACATGATCAAATTCATCAAGCTCTTTCAGTAATCAGTTTTCTGTAGTAAAATGTTTTTTCATAGCATAATTTTCACATTATATATATATATATATATATATATATATATATATATATATATATATATATATATATATTATATATATATATATATATAGCCAATACAGGAGAAAAAAAGATTTATCCGATATTGCAGGTAGCTGGATTTACTGATGAGCTACAGTGTATATTACCTGTATGAATCAACAGTTACAAAGGCCCTCCACTATTAGCATTATAATGCAATAACAGACATTGCAAGGCTGAAAGAGCGAATTACGGCATTTAAAGGAAACAGACACACCTGCCTAACAAACATAATTTATTATCCTGAGTAGCAGACTGAACACTGAATTAGAAAGGCAGATGTAAACAAAGGACTGCAATACAAACCACAATTTCAAAATATAGTGGATGCTTTACATTGGATATACATGTAAAGCATGTTTGATAGTATTGATTACTATCAAACACCACTTAATGTCCCATTCAATCACTCATGGATAATCAAAACTGCTTTGTTGAGTTTAACCACCCGATTCCTTGTGGATGTTCTGCTCTTTGTATGCTTCATTTCTACCTTTCTGCAGCAGAAGTTTTCATGCCCTCTGGTGGTCAAACTAACATTATTTCAGTGAAGTAGCTTGCAGAGGTATCCACAGTGGGTCCTCAAGGGCCGGCATCCTGTATGTTTTAGTTCCTTCCCTGGTTCAACACACCTGGATCAAATGAAGGTTCATTGGCACGCCTCTGCAGAAGTTTGACAGGAAGGTCGTTGGACCATTTGAATCAGAGTCATCTAAAAGTAGCAGAACACCTAAGTAATGACTACCTCTCTAGAATTTCTAGATGTTCTTCTTGTGACGTCCAGAAAGTAGTGATGGGCAGATGAGGCCAAACTGTGTCGACACTGTGCTGAGACTGTTGCTTTGTCACTCACAGTGGCATCTGCTCATTTTAAATTTAGAAAGTCATACCAGGGAAATTCAATAAAGCCGGGAGTGTTAACAGGCTCATGCCCCTCATGCCGGGCACGTTGGTGCCTCAGCATTGTGGAAGTGCTCTGGTCACAGTAAGACAAGAGGAAATCCTACATTTTTCACCTACAATGCAAATAAAAGTTCAACCATATAAACTAAACAAATATCCCATGGAAAGGAATTTGAATAATCCAAAAGAAAAACGATCAAATGTGGAAATGAGGCTGGAATAATTATTTTCAGTTATAAGATCAAAACAATCTCACAGAGGAGAAAACTTCCTCTTCCTTGGTTGATCCATGCCAGTAGTCAAATAACACAAAGTATCTCCAGCTAACAAAACCTACAAGCGGGGTTTCATCTTGTTTGCTCGGCGCATGTGCCGAGGTTTCGGTGTCATCTGGCCCATCACTACCTGGAAGAGTCTTCAATGAGACCTTGGAGTTATTTTGGTAAGCTGGCTGCTCCTGGAAGGTTCACTGAGCGGCCATGTTTCTCCCTGTGTAGACATTGGGTTTCACCGTGTTTTGTTATTCGCAAGCATTATAAATGGCATTGATAAGAAGGATTCCCCCCCCCCCCCCCCATTTGTTCTTGAATATTTTTACATCTGGATATGATGTTTTGTTATTTAAGACCTTTTAGTCTACTTCATTTGGTCAGACAAGTTCTTTTTAAGAGATTGCTCAAATCTACAGATCTGGTTGTAATCAAACCTGGATGTGAAAATTTTAATTATTTTAAAAATTGGTTAATAAGTTAAAGATTCAACAATGAAGATGACTGAATTTTTCAAATAGATTTGCATAACTATTTTTTCCCTTTATAAACAAGACCACCATTTAAAGCTGCATTTTGTTTTTGATCAAGCTTTTGACAATTTATTTTAAAAAAACAAAAGCAGAAGGATCTTCTACGGAGCCAATATTCCTTTTTCTCTGCACTGCATGTTTATTTTTTAAAAAGTCACAATATTCACATCTCGTCCTGATCTTTAAGCCGGTACATGACATCCCAGAGTTTGGTGTTACATATGACAGTCCAGTCGGTTTCTGGAGCTATTAAATAGTTTGTCACACTGTTTTACTTTTTGAAGATGTTAAATACCATTTCACATTTACATTTAAAATTAAAAAAGAAGATAAGCTACTTATTTTTCCCTTGAAGGTTTGGCTAACTCCAAGTGTAATAACTTGACTTCTCCAAGTTTTTTTTAGTTTTTTTTACAGACGCTGCACTTGGCCTTGTGTTTCCATGTGTTGCCATCTCCTTCCTGGAAGAGGCTGTTGATTGATTAACTATATTCCCTAACTTTATGGTTACTCTTTTCTTTTTACTTTGAAGACACAATAAATAGAAATCAAAGGAGCCTGACTTGATGCAATTATCTGTCTAGTACGACTTGCTTTCCCCCTGAGCTCCATAACGATGCATTTGGCTAGAGATCCTAATCTACATCACTTCTGACCGGTTGTCATCATAATATGAAACAGTCCTGCTTTACATTTAAGTTCAGACAGGACAGTTTTTATTTTTTGTGTATTAATAGATAAACGGAAACAAACTGGACAGTGTGTACTTCAATTTAGATTTAGTATAAATTAAATAACTAAAATAAACTGAATTGAATTTTTTGTAGGTTTGTTGCTACTCTATGTACTGAAGTAATTTATGCAACCAGAATATGTCCATTCACGAAAGTACCTGCAAAGTATCAGTGCGCAAACTTTACACTTCTGAGACAACCGAATAGGAATCAGGTTTATGAACAATGACTTTTAATATGGGCAGTTCCTGTGGATTGTTTATTAACAATTTTAAGTCCAAAGTACTTAAGCTCTAAATTATGTATGCTTTAATGTTTTGGTGCGCCTTTTTTTTATTTTCCCCATGTACTAAACATATAAAACAAATTTGAAACTTTGGAAACTTAAGAGACAACATTTGTGAGACTATTATATTATTATAATACAATTATTATAATTATTATATTATTGTTATGTAGCCGGGACATTATGTCAATTATGCACTCTTCCGCTTGCCCATATAAGGAAGACGCTGTGTTGGAGCGCAGCTGATTCATTACGGAGACAGGTAATCTGCATTTACATTTAAAAGCGGGTAGATCGCTGAGAGGGTCAGAGTCCAGGCTGATTCGTCTACAGGTATGTTTAACATGAAGTGTGCGCTGGGTTCAAAATTATTTCTGATGCCTCCATTTTATTGTTGCAGAAAACTTGTTCTTGGAGAGGACATGCAGAGCTCTGTTAACTTTTAGAGAAGGTAAAGGCAGTTTATTATTAATTGGCTATTTAAGGCATCTGTCTACAGTAATTCTATTCTCTGTTGTGTGCAGGTTGGCCTGCTACTGTTTCAGTTTTAGTTTGTTTTGGTTTCAGTGTTGCATTAGTTTAGAATTTATGTTCTGGATAGTTCTTTATTCCTTTGGGGGTTTGTTGTCTAGGGAAGGGGAGTTTTTATTGTCCAGCCCTCCAGGCTTGTTTGTTAGCAAAATAACCTTTGCTGTCCCTGGGTTCCAAGCTGTTTTATCTAGATTGAGGAGACTAGTGGAAGGCGAGTTTTTCTTTTCTTTGTTTTATTCACCAGGGAGTCTTTTTTGTTGTGTGAGTGTGTTTTTGTTCAGGAACACGTAGGTGCATTCAGTTATATTTGGGTTTTTATTATTATTTCTCCCCCAAAGCAGTCTGATTTTATTTAATTGGAGTAACTGGTTGTCAGCTGTAAGGTTTCCAGGGCCAGCATAGATTTAAGGTTTTAAAGTGGTCGATGTTGTACAGCAAAATGAACTGACTACTTATGCCTATGGGTTATTGTGAGTTAAATAAACTGTGGTTAATTTGCAACAGTGTCTCTGATTATTTTTTACAAACTTATGTGTGATCTGGTAAAAAGAAAACACCAGGGAATTTAAGGTTCTTCACACATAACTAAAGCCGGAACCAAGGTACCAGTTATTTTATAGAATATTGACTGTCAAACTTCTGAGAAAACGTTCAGTCAATATGTGGCTAATTGTATCGTTGTCGTTGTGGTTTGCTTATGTTACGGTTTAAACTGCCTTATATTTTTATATTCTCCCCAAAATAAAAGGATGTTTACGAATACTCATGTTGTTTAGTTAGTTACTCACCGAAAACAGGCAAACTACAAACAATTTCTTTCACAGATGAGCCGAAAGGGAGCGGTCGCCTGCCGTTACGTCATCAACAGGCCGACAGGTGTTAATGAGGCGACTGACGAGCTGCCGTCAAGCGTCTCCCAAAAAAAGCTGGTGTCGCAAAGACGCCGTTTTAAAATATGACTTGTTTACATTTAATTATTTAAAATGATTGATTTACAACCAAAAAACGTCTATTCCGAATAGTTATCTGTAATGTTTTAGACTTGCATGAGTAAATCAAAGCTGTAGTCCAAATTCAGAGGATACGTCCTCCTTCCAAACCGGAAGTGAACAGCTGGAGATTTGGACGGTATTGGAATTTTGTCACTCAGTTTTTAGGGTTTCACATACCATAATAGATTAAATCATAATTTAGAAACTACTTTTTTATTCAAATCATCCCCGTCTGCTATTAAAATGTGATTATGTAAAATATTTATGTATAAAAAAGAGGATATCTGCAAGAAGGGATGAAACTTTCACTGACTGCACCGTCAATGTAGTGTCATAGTGGCGGTCTGGCGCCCCCTTTTGGCTCCACATTTAATAAACAAATTACACTATAAACATATTTAGCTGTAAATGATGAGAGGTAGAAGAAAGAAAGAGAAACCATACTTAAGATTACATGAAAAGGCAGAAAATATGTCTTTGGATCATTTAAAACCATAACCATTTTTTCTAAATATTGTCACAAAATAAAATAAAATATATAGACGACGTCAAGAAAACCCATCTCCCAATACAGAATGACAGCTACGCCTGCAACAGTTACTGAAATGAAAGAACATCATGAACTGTTTTGATATTGATGTCTTTGTTTCAGTGACAAACTGAACAGATCACTCACTAAAACGACAGATTTTAACTGTAACAAACGTGCTCTAGCCCCTCAATATCTACATATAGCTGTAACAATTCAACAATCTGCTGATCAAGCCATCTTCTCGCCCTATGATGTCAATAGAAACCAACAAATCTGAATAGAACTTCCAATATGACGGGGAAAAAACTAAATGTAAAATTAATGCTGTCAAGATAAAATGAGCAGCAAATATCTAAATGTGCTTGCATCAAGCAAATAATTAATTTAAAAAAAAATTATGTTTTTACTTTTCTCATTAAACTTTAGACAAACTGAAGAACTTTAATGTGGTGCTTTGTTCCCTCTTTTGTCATTTTACTATATCTAATTATTTAAAAGAATCCTTCATAGCATAGAAAATGAAACGAAGCCATTATGAATGTAATGTTCAACAAACTTTGCCTGTATTTTTTCCACTGTTATAATTAACCTAAAAGCTTATAAAGTCACAATATTCTCGTCTGGGCTTACCTAAATTGTTTAAAGCCAGAAAAATATCTCCCAGTGGCACATTCATACATTTAAATAATATATTTAATTCTAGTGATTGTATGTTTTTCACTTCAAATTCATTGTACAAAGAAATTGTTCACTAGACCAACTTGTAGCTCCTAGATGTCAAGAATCAACTTGGAATTTTACCAGTTTCTGCAGTGATGGGATGAGGTTGAGCCAAATTAAAACATACATAATCTGAGACTCGACCACTTTACTATGATGCTGGGTTTAATGCTGCGCTTCTCTGAATTCAAAGTCATGAAAGTTGGGTTTGGTCAGCAGCTCCAAGGTTTCAGAACCAGAGTCATGACTGACCGGGAGAAGCAAAGTCTTGAAAATATCAAATTATGTCGGAAATTGTCTGTCTGTAAATGCATGTTTTTGCAATATGAGGTAAAACTAAATGCAGAAATTTAGAATAAAGGTTGTTGAGGTTGTTTGCCTTGGTTGTTCAAGGAGCTCAGTAGAAATGTTTACTTCAGCTAGCAGAATACAAACTGCAACTCTGCTGTTTTTCTCTAGTTCTGCAGATTAAACTGTTGAGTTACTTACCTCTGTAAGTTAAGAACCGTCACACAAGCAGCATCTAGAAACACTCCTCCGGCAGTCCTCACCAGGTTTAAGGCATTAAACCAACAGGTGATTGAAAGTACTTAAGTCTGATGTTGTGGTGAAACTGGGAATAGTCCAATCCTGACAGTCGAGATGCTGTCACTGTGCAGAAGCAGTCTTTGAAAACACCATTTGAGCATGAAGTGATCCATCTTGAAGTCTGTGTAAAATGAACAACTTGGATTTACCAACCATGTTAGAAAAAAAAACAAACTAATCTTGATAATCTTGCACAATCTGTTCCTCCAAAGTCTTTTTTTTTTTCTCGAAACAAGATCATCAAGGATTTACGGGGATTAGTAACAATATTGCATTTTTTCCCAGTTATATTTCACCCACTCCTTGCTCCTGTTACTTCACTTCATCCCACCACAGCACTCTCACTCTGCACGCACACACAGAATCACTGCAGCTTTCATTACACAACAAACAATTTTGTTTTGAGATGTTATTTTTCTGTGTTTTTGGTTTCCCCCTCGCTGCTCTTCATGAGGTTGTAATCCAAAAATTAGTGAAGCGAGCACAAAGGCAGAAATGGTTGGTCTGCTAATGTGTGCGTGTGTGTGTGTGTGTGTGTGTGGTATGGGGGTAAGACAAACAGGGTGTGACGGGTCCGCTCAGCCAAGTCGGAACAGAGGGTCACGCTTGTAGCAGTGCTCCAGACAAGGTCAGCCATGAAGAGACTGACAAGCAACGCTGGTAGAGATTACACACAATAAGCCTGCGCTCACGTTTCCTTCCCCGGCCTTCTCATATCTCTTGTCGTTTGCTCCTCTGAGAGCCATTTTGTTCGTTCAAACCAAACTAGGCCTCCCTCAGCTAAGTGAGGGTGTTTCTTTCCCTTAACGAGGCCAAAGAGCCCCGTGCATGCAGGAGAACGGCTCCACGGTCAGCTCTTCTTCAGAGACGTCACAAGGAAGAAGCAGCCTCTAGACCTTCGAGACGCTGTGCTGTAATGTAACAACAAACCTTCCACACTTTCCTCCCACACAGAGTCTGAGCTGCTTCTGTCAGCAGTCGGTGGGAGAGCGCGACTCTGCGGAGTATTTGCAGACATACAGACCCTACGCAAACACAACCTTATCAGTGTTTACACATATTGCCTGTTGAAGCTCATGTATGCGCAGAGTAGCTGTGCAAACTGCAATAAAACTTACCTCAGCCTCAGTCTGTTTGGTCTGCAGCAGCTGGTTAATAATCCAGGAGGGGGAGGAAAGGGGTGTTATTGTGCAGCGACAATTTGTTCAGCCTGCCAGATTTGAATGTCCATGCATAAAATGTTTCAAAGTGAAATAGCAGCAGCAGGGAGACGATTTCTGCTTCACTTTTCTTACGCTTGCGAAATTTGATACGTTTTCGGCTGGCAATGAACAACCAGAGCAACAGCAAGGAGCGCATCACAGTGAGAAGACAATTAGATGTTTGCAAAGGATTTTAGTGGACGTCAAAAATTAAACTTTGAAAAGTTTGGTTTGGATTTGTATCCAGTTCTCTTTATTCTGATACCCCTAAGTAAAACCGCCTGATTCAGAAGGATTCTAATTAGTGCTTAGACTCATTCAGATTGCAATTCAGCGAGTATGGCATAAAATGGACATGTAGCAACAAGACATGGTCGTCAGCCTAGGGCTTAGTAAGAGAAGCATTAATTAGGGAAGGAACCAATAGGACTTTGGGAGAGCTGCAGAGATCCACAGTTCGGGTGGGAAAATATGTGAACAGGACAACCATTGGCTGCACATTTACACAAGAATACCAGGAACAAGAAGCCTAGTTTAGACTTTGCCATGAAAAAGACAAACCAAACATGAGGAAGAAGCTCAGATGAGACCCAAACTGAGGTTTTTGTTCTTCATGCAAAACACTACATGCAGCAGAAAACCAACACCGCAAATTTCCCTGAACACATCGCCCCACCATGGGAAATTTTTCTTTAACAGGGTTAGAAAAACTGCCCAGAGTTTCTATCCGCAGCTAAATAGATAGAAAATGTAGTCTGGAGACTCTGGCAAAGGTTTACCCTCCAGCAGAACGATGACACAAAAGTCAGAGAACCTCAAATCAAAGCATACAGACCTCAACTGAGAATCTGTGACAAGACATGAAAAAACTGTTTTCACAGACAATCTGACTATGTTGCAAGGCATTACAGACAAAAAAATACTGCTTTTAAACGAGTAAAGCACGAAATTACAAAGTCTCAAAAGACTCGACTGGAAACAAAAGTCGGTGAAACATTTCAGACTTTTATTTGCAAAACATGTTGAAACAATGTGTTTTGTCTCCTTTCCATCTCACAGTAGTGAACTAATATATATATTGAGCTCTAAAAAAAAGTGGGATGTTTTCGGTTGTGATTTGTGAAAACGTGACAAAATGTTCTGAACGCAGCGATGTGCGAATGTTTATTTGAGCTTATGAGACCCAGATAAATAGAAAGACTTAAAATATCTGAACAAAGTCGAGGAAATTATAGTTCTGGAGTGGAATACTTAAAAAAAAAAACACCAAATTGCAGGGAAACCCATATAACCTGAAGCAAACGCGGTAGTTTTTGCGGGCTCCACTAGAGGGCTCTGCGCACCAATTCAGTCCAAATTTAAAGCACATTGATGGTCAGATGTGTTTGGAGGATTATCCTGTGACCTGAAGAGGGCAGCCTTGTTAAGTGCCTTTAAATATACTGTTATATCTGCTGCTGCTGCTGCTGCTGCTGCTGCTTCATAATTTAACAACCAACACCAAGCGCACTGACACATGGGGGGATAGAAAGTAAATACTGGCTCCACGATGCTGTCAAAAAGCAAATACAGCTCATGTCTTTCTGCTCGGCGGATGAGATAAACTCTCATAATAGCACAGAGAGCGGAGAGTAAGAAAAAAAGAAAAAAAAGAAAGGGTTATCTAATAAACGGAACGAGCACAAGCTGTAAAACGGTTTTAATGGCAGACTGCAGGGCCCCGTGGCTGCGCCCAGGCGCAGCTTGTGCCGCGGTGTTCGCCGCTCTTTGTTCTAACCAGAGCATATGCCACAAGCCCTCGCTGCTTTTCCTCAGCAGCTGCTAAACCCATTAA